GTCTTCGGCCCACTTTCGGCAAAAAAATGGCTCGATATTGGCGCGAATCGGCCCATATTCGGCGTGGTTCGGCATGAATTCTCAACATAAATAATTTTTTTTATCACATAGTTCATCACAAAAAATCAATAGAAATCCAATAGTTTAACAAAAAATAGTTCAATACAAATTATAGTTCAACAAATAAAAACTCATATTTCATCACACGTCGAGCTAGGCGTCGCCCTTGATCCTCCATAGGTGCTCCACTAGATCCTGCTGCAGTTGTTGATGCACCTGCGTGTCTCGGATCTCCTGACGCATACTGAGGTAGGTAGTCCAGGTTGCTAGTAGCTAGTGATCAACTTGGGCAAGAGGACCCTGCCTGTAGTATGGTTCAGTGTCAAACACTGGCTCTTCATGCTCGCTCTCAATGATCATATTATGCAAGATGACACAGAAAGTCATGATCTCCCACATTTGATCTTTCGACCAGGTCTGAGCAGGGTACTGGACAACAGAAAATCGAGATTGGAGCACAACAAATGCTCGCTCGACATCCTTCCTGCAAGACTCCCGAGCCTTGGTAAAGTGGGACCTCTTGCCTCCTGGCACAATGTTTGAGATAGCCTTCACAAATGTCTACCATCTCGGATAGATTCCATCAGCTAGGTAGTACCCCTTTTTGTAGTGCCACCCATTGACCTCGAAGTTCACCGGAGGAGAATGACCTTCAACAAGCTTGGCAAAGACAGGGGAGCACTTCAGGACATTGATGTCATTCTGAGTTCCTGGCATCCCAAAGAAAGAGTGCCAAATCCAAAGGTCATGGGTGCCATTGCCTCAAGTACCACACTGCAACCGCCTTTAGCGCCTTTGTACAACCCCTGCAAAGCAAATGGACACTTCTTCCATTTCCAATGCATGTAGTCGATGCTTCCAAGCATCCCAGGAAATCCTCTTGCTGCATTCTGTGCTAGGATCCGAGCTGTGTCTTTAGTATTGGGTGATCACAAGTATTGTGGTCCAAACATTGCCACCACTGCACTGTTGAACTTGTAGAAACACTCAATGGTCGTGGACTCGGCCATGCGCCCATAGTCGTCGAGTGAATCACCGGGAGCTCTGTATGCAGGCATCCTCATAGCTGTCGTTCAGTTTTGGATTGAGGTGAATCCAAGTGCGCTGGTGCAATCCTTCTTGCACTTGAAGTAGTTGTTGAACTCCCGGATGGAATTCACAATCCTAAGGAAAAGCTTTCGACTCATTCGATAACGGCGCCGAAATGTTTTCTCGTCGTGCAATGGGGCGTCGGCAAAGTAGTCGGAGTAGAGCATGCAGTAGCCTTCTAGACAATGTTGATTCTTTGCTTTCACCCTCCCCGGTGCCGAGCCACCTCGCCGCGGCTTTTCATTGCTTGCAAGCAGGTCGGCGAGGGCGGCGAGAACCATGAGATGCTCCTTCTCCTGGACGTCGACTTCATCTTCCTCCTCCAGCTACGCCGCGAGCGCCTCCTCATCGTTCGAGTCCATCGCCGGGCCGGGCAGACAAATTGCTGAACACCTTCCGGGTGTGGTGGGCGCACACCCGCCTGTTCACCGCCCCTACGCGGCCGGAACGCCGGAAAAATCGCCCGGACGATGGTGGAGAGGCTGCCGCGCGAAACCTCTTCTCTTTTTCGGCGGGGAATGGCCTATCTAGCTGTGGTGGGTTGTGGGCGGCACCGGGATCGGCAGGGTGGCGGCCAAGCACAAGAGGGTGGGAGGCAAATCTGGACGGTCGGCTTGACTTTTAGCCTGACAGTGTGGCCCCAGGTGTGCTCTTCTCTTGCATCGGAGCCCCCGACCGCCCCCAGTGCGCTGGGTTCAGCCTGCGATCGCCGGGCCCGAAAACGGGCCGAGCCGGCGGAATTCGGCGTCTTGGCGGCGCGACTGGGGCGTCTTTTGGCGCCGGCGCGTAAAAAGTTGCCTCGGGGGCCCGTTGGGGGCGCGGCTGGAGTTGCTCTCACAAACAGCAACGCATGTAGGTCAACCATTGATGGTTACAAACAACAGCGCATGTAGGTTAAATTCCTCCTGTCTGTGCTCATCCCACACACGTACACCTTTTCCATTCCACAACTGTAAAGGTTCTTCAACTAATGGCCTTAGGTACACATCAATGTCGTTGCCGGGTTACTTAGGGTCTTGGATGAGCACTGGCATCATAATGAACTTCCGCTTCATGCACAACCAAGGATACATAGAGTCACGGACCAGGTGCTATGATTGCTGTTCTGCTCCCCGAGAGGATTAATGCCATCTGCGCTTAACCAAACCATACATTCCTTGAGTCACCTGCAAAGTCCCCCCACCTTCTCTTGGTTTTTCTCCACTGCGACCCGTTAGTGGGTGCTCTCAACTCCCCGTCTTTCTTACGGTCATCTTTTTGTGCCATCGCATCAACTTGGCAGGTGGATGTGAAGGGTTTTTGAGTCAGAGTAAGACTTTGTATTCCCACAGATAGGGCATGGACAACAAATAAAACCATTCTGCTTGTTTGCCTCAGCCACTTCGATAAAATTATGCAGGCCCTTAATGTACTCGGAGGTGCGTCTGTCACCGTAGATCCACTATCGGTTCATCTGTGTGCATTATATATAATTAAGTGTGTCAAAATTACAGAACATCATGAATAGAGAGGTGACCAAATTAATAGGAGTTCATCATCACATTAAAACAAGAGTACAATAGTGATCAAATGTTATTACTGAAAAAATAAATACATAAAGTTCATACATAGTTCTCATTGAACAACATATAGCTCTCTAGGGTAACCTTTGGTCCCTGTTCCAGCCACCAACCGGGGCTAAAGGTGCTGGGCCAGGAGCGAGGACCATTGGTCCCGGTTCGTGTCTGGAACCGGGACCAAAAGTGCCTGACAAACCGGGACCAATGGCCCCCGAGGCCCGGCCGGCGCCCTGGCCTCACGAACCGGGACTGATGCATCCTTTGGTCCCAGTTCGTGAGTGAACCGCCAAAGCCCTATTTTCTACTAGTGATACACACCAAAAGTATGGCAAGATTCCCTTAGGCTTGCTAACTTGTGACTCTCATTTTGAAGAACTAAGGCCAACCTCAACGCTAGACCCCATCATGTCCGCCGGCATCCGTTTGGGCCCAAACAGACACATGATCTGGTCCAACGCGCAACCCATCCTCAAAACTTGTCTGTTTTCGGTCCAGCTTGACCCATTCCAGGCTCATAGTTGGGCCAGCTTTGTGGTCGCGCGGACAATGAACAGACGGGCACGCGTCCTCTCCGAGTCTGTGTCGGGCCCACATGTCGGCGGTCCAACTAGCTCCCAACGTTCGTAGTCAATGCGCACGGGTGGTTGGCCCCGCATGTTAGCCGCACAGACGCCCCCGGACACGCCCTTTTTTATGAGGTCAAGCAGGAGGTCAAGGTGGAGCCCGCGTAGGAGCGTGCACTGGTGTCGTGGTTGCCACCCCCAGCGCCAACACCCCGGCCTCCTCCGCCGCCTGCACAGTACGCCACTGGCCTAATCTGGGGGCTGCCGCCACACTTTTGGACGCCCTACCCTACATCGACCTCACGAGCGATGACGAGGATGGTGGCGCCTGAAGACGGCGGCAGCGATAGCATCAGCGGCGACGGCGAGGTCTTCTGTGGCGCGCGGGGCGGCCGCATTATCTTTTGCTATGTTTTTTTTGTTTTATGTTAATTAAACTAAGTGTTGTTGTTGGGCAGTGAGGACGGCGAACTTTTAAATATGTTTTAAAGTTTTTTCTAGCTATGTTAAAATGCCTTATTTTGCTTTTGCATGTGTGTTTTTTTTCTTTGTCCACCGCGGACAAGCTGCGGTTGGGGCCGCGCGTTGGGCGCCTCGACGCCAGGCCAGCCCGACGCGGACATCCTTCTCCCCATTCCCTCCTCAAACAGACGAAATCCAAACAATCCGGATGTTCGGATGAGGTCTTGCGTTGGAGTTGGCCTAAGTTTAGGCATGTTTGACAACATGAGAAATGTCTAACAGCTCCCGGGGTGCCCCCTACACCCTCATGAATGGTTAATTCTTAAAAAAATGAAAAAAAAATCTAAAAAATCTAAAACTTTCAGGGATCAAAGATTATCAAAGGTTTGATGTTCCTGCAAAGTTTCAGCAACAAATAACCTTCGTGGAGCCCTCACAAAAAATCACTGCTAAACAATGTACATAAACTTTGAACAATCATTTTGTTTTTTTATTTGAGTGGTTTTCGAATGTTATTTTTAGCTAAAACTTTGCAAGATCATCAAAAGTTTCCTGATGCTCGATGTCCCAAAGTTTCAGATTTTTTTAATTTGTTTTGAATTTACTGTTCATAGAGGGTATAGGGATGCCTTGGTACTGAAAATTCTATCTCTTGACAATACTGTATGTGAAAGTGTTGCATTGCTAGGCCTAAAAACAAACAACCCGAGAAATGGGTCGCCGCTTTGGAGTTGCTATTCCGGTCTTTACAACACGTTGGAGTTGCTCTTATTCCGGTCTTTAGAACTGCTCATCCTTTGGCGTCTTTGAGGCTTGACGAAGCGGTCGGTCGACACGTTCGTACTAGCGTCACTACTGTACTGGAGCGGCCGCGGACGATCGAGAGCCATGGCTACTGCCTAGCCTACTGAGAGTGATGGGTACCATACCATTGGAGCATGTACCAATACCGGGGCGCCAGGCAACGGACGGGCGGGCCCCGCACCGCACGGCGATGAGCACGGCTGCTGGAGGACGCCCAAAGAGGGAGGAGATTTTTCTTTTCCCTGTTGAGGGAGGAGATCTTCAATCGAGATACAGAGGAAAGGGAAAGATAGGGAGCACCGTACGTGCATGCGGTAGCATCCATCCATGGCATAAAGAGAGGGAAGCACTCTTTACCACCACAACTACTCTTCGTCCTCCTCTATCCGGGCAGCACCGCAGGGAGAAGGAGAAGAGGATAGGAGAGAGGGAAGGGCAAGGCAGCAGGATCAAGGCGAGAGGGATGGGGCGCGGCAAGGTGGAGCTGAAGCGGATCGACAACAAGAGCAGCCGGCAGGTGACGTTCGCCAAGCGCCGCAACGGGCTGCTCAAGAAGGCGTACGAGCTGTCGGTGCTCTGCGACGCCGAGGTCGCGCTCATCATCTTCTCCACCCGCGGCCGCCTCTTCGAGTTCTCCACATCCTCATGGTACCACCACATCTGATTCCGCTCCGATTTGTTTGTTTCAGTCGAAAATCTTGGCTCTTTTTTTTCCTACACCACAAGATCTTCTCCATGCATGCATGTAGATGTAGCTAGGCCGCAGGCGGACGGCCGCTAAGGGGATGGTAGCCTCCCCTCATCTTCTTTTTTGCTGTTTCGGGGAGGGAATGATTTCGCTGTTGCGTCTTTCTTTCCAATCATCCATCCATATCGACCCATCGAGAGCGCTGGGTGTGAGATGCGTTTCCCCTTTCCTCTTTTGGTGTTCATGCTCCAGATCGACAAATCAGAGCTATATATGTGAAATCAGAGCTACTACTTGCTTGCCATAGCTAGCGTCTCCAGATCTGGGCAAACACACATATAGTACTTTTTCCCATTTCAGAACCGCACAAACTATTTCATTTCTTCTTCTCTGCTGGCCTGTTGCCTGGCTCACAAAAAAAATCAGCTAGCTAGCTAGTTATTCTCTTGCATCATTGATTAATTTTATGCATGTTATCTTCCGTCCATGCATTGCGTTGGGGAGTTCTTGGGAGATCTGGCTGTGTGTGTTGCTCACTGGCGAGGAGATTCTACTATTCCATTGGGAGCCAATTCTACTGTTCCATCGAGGCCTCTCACCTCACTCCCCGTCTTCTCTGGGTGTGTCAGGCCATAGTACGTGCTGCACAGCACGCGGCCAGGAGAGCAAAAGTAACGGAGAAAACGAGGCAAAACGACAAATATGTCCTATGATCGAAATCAATTCAAAACCTGAAGTGCGCTAATTTTTTTCGCTCGGCTGACCCTTTCATGTAACAGCCGACATCCAGACGCCACACTACACTCTGCAGCGTCTAACTGGCAGACGTTATACGTCTGGCCAGCTTCGCATCGCAGGCTACCTGAAAATTGCTAAGTCAGTGTACAACGCCTGAGGGTTAGACGCTGCACTATACAGTATAGCATCTAGACACTAGGCGTTGCACTAGTGGCCACTTCATCTTGTAGTGGCAAATAGTGCATCCACTAGTGCAACGCCTAGACACTAAGCGCTACACTCTGTAGCGCCTAGTTCTCAGGCATTGCACACTGACTTAGCAAATTTCGAACAGCCCGGGTGCGATGTTGGCCATACGTACATTGCCTGTCAGTTAGACGCTGCGCAATATAATGTGGCGTCTGGCTGTCGGACGCTACATGAATGGGTCAGCGGAGTGAAAATTTTCACTAACGGTTCATTTTATGAATTGATTTCAACCATAGGTCAAAAAATTGATTTTTGCCAGAAAAGGACATGTGTGTATGTGGCTGTGGCATCGGTGTGCTCGTCACTTGGTCAGAACCCATCAAGGTGCTGTCCTATGGCCATGGAGGAGCAGTGCCATGTTCTCCGCATGTGAACCGACGAACGAATTCACCAGCTAGTAGATACCAGCAGTGTGTTTTGGCCGTAGACATTTGACAGACAGGTGTACGTACGTACCTGATCGCCGTCCGCTAGCAAGAGCTTAATATCATAGTATAGTATTCTCTCTGTAAAAGAAATATAAAAGTATTTAGATCAATATATTTCTTTATAGAGGGGGTACTTGGTACCATTCGTGCTTTCACGTCATTATTATGCCATAATCGCATGCGACTCTAACCAAACACCGGCGGATGGGAGGAGGATTTAGGTGCTACTTTCTCCGGTTAAAAGTAAGTGTCGTGATTTTAGTTCAAATGAAAGGGAGTGCGTGCAGCTTTGTGATTGCAGGAGGAGAAATAATACCATCCCTCTCTTCTTAATTACACATCACGGTGTCTAACATATGTTTTTCGCCGTCGTTCTTTAATGTGCACATGTTATTTGAGAAACAAACAAAGCGAGTGGTAAGAGATTTGGGAGGGAAAAAAATCATCGTAGAGTTTCATGTTTAGGAAAATGTCCTAGTTTCCTTACTAACTTTTTGGCAAACACAATAAAAACATAGATGTTTGTAGGAACAAACACTCATCTTTATGAATGTACACACATACACCTTATTCCTATGGGCACCTCCATTGAGCCGGTAAACTTTAAGATTGACAAAGTCAATATAAAAGTCTCGTAGCCGATGGGAATATTGTTTTCAGGAAAATACAAGCACCCTACTAAGCTTAAGATCTCAGCCCAAGTGTGTTGGTTCCACCAGAGGAACCTACCATACCTAAGCTATGCTTAGTAACAATCTTGTGTGCATTGATTAAAAAGATGCCATCACAAATTAGACCAGCTTCAAGGGTAAGTTATGTTAACTACCATGTATTTCTCGACTACCAACATGTGCAGTGACCAATATCTTAATTTACTATGACCATTTGCACACCTCAAGTTTTTTTAACATGAATTAGAAGATATCAGAAAAGGTGCACATATCACCCCCAAAAAATATAGAAAAGGTGGACAAAAAAGGGGAGAATTCCCATGAGGTGTAAAAATTAAATCCATTATAGTGCTAGTGGTATCATTACCTCTACCCAAAGGGCGTCCACATGTGTAGAAATTCTTGTGGTTAAAATCCTATAAAAACCTGCTCCTCCATGCTTCCACGATGATGTTACTTCATCCTTGCCCTAGAAATCAATCGATTCCTCTTCTCTTTCTTACTCTTTCGCTGGGAGGCTTTTGCTGTTGTTGTTGAGAATTTTGGCGAAAGATTTTCTTTTCCCCGTCATTTGCTGGCTGGCTATTTCCCTTTTCCTTGGTGTTTTTTTTTTGAGAAATTTGGGAGGCCTTCGGTTTTGCTGGGTAGAGTATCTAGCATCTCCGGTGTGTGTTGCTGGATCTTGCGTATAGGCTTCGTTTTTGCTAGCTTGATTGTACTATTCCTACTGCTCCATTGGGAACCACCCGTTGATTCTACTTTCTTCCATCGAGGCCTCCCCCTCTCCCCGTCCTCTCCTGGCCGGTCGCCGTACGCGCACGCGGCCGCAGCGGCTAGGGAGAGGTGGACGGAAAAGTAATCCGAGAAAATGAGATGCATCGATGCGCTCGTGAGGGGTTGTCCTCTCATACGTTCTTCTCCTTGGCATGCATGGGAGCGGATCCTCCGCCGCGGGTGGTCGTAGAGCTTTGCCTTTGACAGACGGCAGGTGAAATGAAATGTGTAGCCAGCGTACCCGTCCAGTACAGTACATGCGAGTTAAGCAAAGTAGCAAACACGTCGAATGCTCGTAGCAACTCCAACGCGAGGACCTACTTCATCTGCACGTGTCCGTTTGAATTTAAATGGACACAAAAATCGACCCAATGCATCTATCCAAACAGATGCACGTCCGTTTTTCGTCCACCTAGCGACCCATTCCAAACCTAAATTTGTGCTTCATTTGCGTCGGCGCGCACACGCGTGATGTCCGCCTACTTCTTCCCCTGGCCCGTAAGTTGGTGGCACATAGGTCATTCTCTTCCTCCCATCGACAGCAAGCACCCGGCCTCCCCACCCCATCGCCGCCGCTGCCCAGTTCTGGTGCTCTCGCCAGCCGTCCGCACCCGCAACACGCACCTTCCAATGTCACCACCACCAGCGCCCCGTCGCCAGGCCACCGCAGCTTCTCCCGACATCGGTCACTGCCAGCACCACCTTGCCCCTCCCCCTGCGCCCCCGGCCAGCTCCTTCGATGACGACGCCACGCTCGCCGGATAGAGGGCGACGCCCGCAAGCTATTCGAGGGTTTGCGCGCAAGGTACAAATGGACACCGCCCACAAGTTCTTTTTCCACTATTTCATTTCTGACCCGGGTGATTCTTCATCTGGCGATGAGGAGATGGTGGCTCCTGTGTTGGTCGTCCATCACCACCTTAGTAGGTAGCGACCGTTGTTCCGGGGCTCGATCCCAGGGCACACTCTGACGTTGAATCGCAACCCAGAGAGTGGCCATTTCCTTCTCTGGAAGGACTACTTCGAGACAGCCAACCCGCTCTTCAAACATCACCTATTCCGCGGCCGTTTTCGTATGGCTAGACATGTTTTCAACCGTATTCAAGAGGGTGTGGTCGGATACGATAAGTATTTCGAGTGCAAGGAGAATGTCTTTGGAAATATTGGCTTCTCCTCTTATCAGAAATGCACTGCAACTATCCAGATGCTTGCATCCAGAGTTCTCGGTGATCTCATTTATGAGTATGTCTATATGAGCGAGTCCACGTGCCTAGACTCCATGTATAGGTTCTGCAAGGCTGTGATAGCAGTGTTTGGTCTTGAGTACTTGAGAGAGCCAAATGTTGCAGATACAGCCCGCTTGTTGGTGATGAATGCCAGCAGGGGCTTCTCGGGGATGCTTAGTAGCATCGGTTGTATGCACTGGGAGTGGAAGAACTGCCGTTCTGCTTGGCAGGGGTAGTATAGGGGCCATGTCAAAGCTTACACGGTCATACTCATGGTTGCAGCTTCACAAGATCTCTGGATTTGGCACTCTTTCTTCATCATGGCCGGATCTCGCAATGATATCAACGTGCTTCAACACTCTCCGGTGTTGGCAATGCTTGCCTAGAGATGAATGTTAACATCAATGGCCAGAAGTACAACAAAGGATACTACCTAGCTAACAGTATCTATCCTCAGTGGACTGCTCTTGTGTAGACAATCTCCAACCTTGTAGGAGAGAAGAGGAAGAGATTTGCACAAGAGAAAGAGAGTGTTAGGATGTGGAGTGTGCCTTTGGTGTTACACAATCTTGATGGGGCATCGTTCAATATCCTGCTAGAACTTGGAGCACCAAGAAGTTGTGGGAGGTGATGACTGCGTGTGTGATCATGCACAATATGATCGTAGAGGATGAGCGCCCGAAACGTATCTATGACCAAGGGTTTCAGTTTCATGATGAAAATGTTGTGCCTGAGCATGGAGGAGCGACAACGTCTATGCAGTTCACCCAATTTCATCATCAAATACGTGATTGGAAAACTCACATTTAGATGCAAAATGATTTGGTTGAGCATACGTGGGCTCACGTTGCCAACCAATAGATTTATCTTTTTTTAAATGTATTTGAGAC